GCTCCAAACAGGGCCTCAACTGCCCCGTTTGCTCTGCCGGCCTCCAAACCCAGCTCCAAACAGGGCCTCAACTGCCCCGTGTGCTCTGCCGGCCTCCAAACCCCGCTCCAGCCATGGGCAGCAGCTCCCCCTCCTGTCGCTCCTTTGTTCTCGTTCCCTGACCCAGATTCGGTGGCTTCCCTGGCGCCGCATCCACGTCATCTCGCTGTCACCCTGTCCCCTCTCTCCGCCCCCGGCGCGGCCTCCAAACTTGGCCCTGCTCCCGTCTGCCTCCCGGCCTCCCCCTCGCCGCGTCCCACGCCCGGCCGGCCAGCAGGGCTGATTCACTCCTTGACTGCACTGCTGCTGAGCCCTTCCAGCAGCGCACACCTCCCCTTTGCTTTTCGTTTTAATTTATTTATTTATTGTACAAGGGGAATGCTCTGGAGGGCTGCTGTGTGGAGGCGGTTCTCGGGAGGGGGCAGCCCATAACTGGCGCGTTCCGGGGCTCATCCCTGTGGGTGACGCGGGGATAACGTGACTCTCGTCGTCCGTTTGCCTTGGGCTTGAGTCTGTCTCAAACTTAGGCTCCTGCTTTTCCTTCCTTGCTCCAATGGGGAGCTTTTCACGGACTCTATCACTGTGTTTCCCAGCGCAGGACTCTGCAGGCCTCGCTAAGTGGGTTTAATCTCCCATCCCGGCTCAAAGAGGCCGGCTCTGAGTTAGCCAAGGAGGCCGCAGCTCCAGTTCTTTGCCGTAGGTTTGGGCCTAGCTCTAAGTTTGGTTCACAGGTTGGTGAACCTGCTTCAGGCCGGCAGCAGATCGAGGCTGTTGCCCTTGTTGGGCTCTGCTCGGGTTCAGGGCGTTGGGGGCACTTCATGGGCTGGCTGGCGAAACAGAGCAATAAAACAGGACTCTGCTAAAGGGACTCTTCTTAATCTGTAATTTGGAAATATCAAGCTATATATGTTGGAAACAGGTGTTACTTTATGTCCTTAGAAACCCTATAGTAACCTTTTGGACATGCAGTTCTCTCCCGGAAACCTGGATTAATTGCAGGAAGGACAAGCGTGGGATTGGGGAGGAAAGCACAGGAAATGGTTTTATTGTTGGTCCTGGACCAGAGCTCACCTGCTCCTGTTGCCGGAGTTTATTCACCTGCTGAATTGCCCTTGTGTGTGTCCAAGCATCACTGCTACCCTCCGTATCTCACACCACAGAAGCTAAAGGGCAGGGGACTTGCTAATTCCTCAGGCATTTTCTTGCCATTCGATGTCTTCAGGGTCCTGGTGAGTGAGTAGAAATCACAGGGCTTCTGCACGGGCCCCTTGAGCCAGGGGACTGCTTCCAAAGGCGGAATGGGTCATCTCCCCCGGTTGCCTTGGGGTTACTGTGCACGGGATGAGGGACAAGGAAGCTCCAGCCTGGATGTGCAGGAGCAATGAGAATTCCCGATGGAACCTCCCTGCAGCTCCCTCCTGCTCATTGTGTCACCTCTTGTTGCAGGTGCCCGCTTCTCCGTGGTAGGACTCTGAAGATGTCCAATAGCAACACGACGCAGGAGGCTCTGGAAATAATGAAAGAGTCAGAAAAAAAGGTGGTGGAAGAATCTGTGAACAAAACCAAATTTGTATCCAGGTCGCCAAGCAAGGAGGAGGCGGAAAAGGATGGTGGGGAGGAGATAAATGTGCGTCAGGAATCTCAGGTAAGTGGGTAGCCCGTTCTGCACGCTTGCAGACTCACAGAATGGTTGAGGTTGGAAGGGACCTCTAGGGATCATCTAGTCCGACCTTCCTGCTCCAGCAGGGACACCCAGAGCACGGGGTGCAGGGTGGCATCCAGGCGGGTTAGGAGATCTCCAGAGGAGACTCCATAACCTCCCTGGGCAGCCTGTTCCAGGGCTCGGGCACCCTCACAGTGGAGAAGTTCCTCCTCACATGGACATGGAGCTGTGTGGGTTGCAGTTTGCACCCATTGTCCCTTGTCCTGTCACTGGCCACCACTGAGAAGAGCTTGGCCCCTTCCTCCCTCCATTCCCCCTTCATTTACTTATCCATGTTAATCAGATCCCTCTCAGCCTTCTCTTCTCCAAGCTGAACAGGCCCAACTCACTCAACTCTCCTCATACGAGAGATGTTCCAGTCCCATCATCATATTGGCTGCCCTCCGCTGGCCCCTCTCTAGAAGCTCCACGTCCCTCTTGTGCTGGGGAGCCCAGAACTGCCCCCAGTGCTCCAGGTTTGGCCTCCCCAGAGCTGAGTAGAGGGGCAGGATCCCCTCCATTGACCTGCTGGCAACGTCCCCCTGATGTAGGCCAGGATCAGGCCCTTCAGAGTCAGATTTGGATTAATCCGCAGGCTCTCAGGTTTTAGATTAAATTTCTTGCCTTCTCTTTCCTCTCCCACAGAGACGAAGTTCAAGTCATGGACACGCTAGAAAAAGAGCCAAGGTATGAGCTGGTCTGTCCCTTTCTGTTCTGGCCGTCCTGAGTTGAGACGTGTTCCCAGCCTTAGCGCAGTCCCCTCAAGTCCTGTCTCCAGAAGCAACGTGCAGCGCTTGCCGTCTCGGAACAGGGATCTTTCACCCGCTGGAGCATGAGTGCTCATCTTCACAAGCACGAAAGATGACCATCATGATGGCATTTACGTGTTAGTGCAACAGCAGGACGCTACTGCTACAGAATGCTGCTTTTTAAGCAAAATCTGGAGGGGAAAGTGCAGCCATTATATGGTTTTTTTTGTATTTTACCCCATCTTAGCTTAAACTCCATTTTTTTCTATGCAAAATTTGATTTTGATAATAACTACTAGACTAGTTTAGCAAAAGTGGCTCTGACTTCTTTGAACTAGCAGTTATAGAACTGTAGCATAATTCCAGAGTCCATTCAATCCAGCTAATATTTATCTAGTCCAGCTTCCTATTCAAAAGTCACCTACGAGATCTAGCTAGGATACTCAGAGCTTGATTTTAAAGCTGATTGGGTTGGTAGTCCCTTTCAGCAGTTTAATTAGCACTGTATGAATAGCTTTGTAATGCACTGACATGAACTTAGATGTCTTGGCTGAGATAACTATATATATTTTTTTTCTCTAGTCTAATTCAAAGCTTAAACTGGTCAGGAGTTTGGCTGTGTGTGAAGAATCATCTAGCCCCTTCGTAGATGGACTGCTGGAGTCTCAGGTAGGCCTGGTATCAAACAAGAGGTGCAAAGAAAATTCACTTCTTGCTAGAAGGGGTGCCCTCCCCTGGGCCTGCGCCTGTAAGAGGCAGGAAGTTTCCCACAGAACGTGCTTTGGAGAGGAGCAGTTGTGTTGCTGAGCACAGAATCACAGAATGGTTGAGGTTGGAAGGGACCTCTAGGGATCATCTAGTCCGACCTTCCTGCTCCAGCAGGGACACCCAGAGCAGGGGGCACCCAGTCCATCCAGGTGGGTTTGGGGATCTCCAGAGCAGGAGCCTCCCTGGGCAGCCTGTGCCAGGCTCAGGCACCCTCACACCAAACAAGTTCCTCCTCCCATGGACATGGAGCTGCCTGGGTCACAGTTTGCACCCACTGCCCCTTGTCCTGTCCCTGGCCACCACTAAGAAGAGCTTGGCCCCTTCCTCCCTCCATTCCCCCTTCATTAACTTATCCATGTTAATCAGATCCCCTCTCAGCCTTCTCTTCTCCAAGCTGAACAGGCCCAGCTCACTCAGTCCCTCCTCATAGGAGAAATGTTCCATTCCCCTCATCATCTTGGTTGCCCTCCGCTGGCCCCTCTCTAGCAGCGCCACGTCCCTCTCGTCCTGGGGAGCCCAGAACTGCCCCCAATGCTCCAGGTTCCCTGCTTTGTTCTGTTGCAGGACATCATTCAGTTGCACATTAGCTGTCCTTCTGACAAGGAAGAGGAGAAATCCATGAAGGATGGGGCTGAAAAAGAAGAAAAAGACAAGAATAAAGAAAAAGCACCAAGGAAGATGCTGTCTCGAGGTCAGGTGCCGTCTGAACAGGACAGGTCCTGTCTTACCTGCCTTTACAATTCTGCTGGCCAGTGGTACAACCGCTGTAAGCAGGAGGGTTCATCTCTTGTTGAAGGCTGCACACGAATGCATCAATTTTATAACATCCTCTCAGGAATAAAGCATGGGGAAGGAGGGGAAGAGTTGTTGGAGTTTGGCACGTGCCCCAGCAGAATTGCAGGCTCCCTGCATGTTCACGGTGATCTGGTACATTTTTGAAACCCCCCAAAAAACAAAAGGAGCTTATGGGGCAAGGTTTCTGTCGATGAACTGATCTGTTTTCCCTCTTTTTGAGGTCCTCCTAATGTGGCTTTGAGTTCCTTATGCTTTGTATGTAACCTCCTGGTCTTCCTGCTACCCACAACGAGCAGTGATGAATAGTCCCCAGTTTTTGGAGTGAGGAAGCCTCAAAGTCATCTTCAGAGCTGCGGTAGAAACTCTCCTTGAGCCCAAGCCATGGAGGATCCATCCTCTGCAGTTCTGGGGCAGGAGGGGTCTTAGTATTATATTGTGACTTGCTAGTCACTTGTGGCTGCTGAGAATAGGGCTGAGTTTCGGGCACCTCTGTAGGGACATCATCCTCATGCACGAAGTTGGTTGCTGTGAGACACACACCTCTTCCCACTCAAGCTATTCTAGCGCAGTGTTTTGTTAATTTGTGCTGATGCTGTTGTCGTTTCAGATTCCAGCCAGGAATATACAGACTCCACTGGAATAGATTTGCATGAATTTTTAGTAAATACACTGAAAAAAAACCCAAGGTAGGTCCCTAGTCAGTAAAACAACTAGCTAATGGGGTGAAAGGAGGGAGAACCTGGCAAGCAGTGCTTATTTGATTGACTCTAAATGTGTCATGTGGGGGGGATATATGTATTCATATATCAGGGGGGAGAAGCAACTACAGAAGGTTCCTGCAAGTGTGTTTTACTTTTTGGAATTCAGACGGGGCAGTGTAGGAACAAAAAACACAGCTGTAAACTTCGTATACAGCAGTCAAGCAAAACATACACTTATGTGTTATGGAGAGAAAGGCAAAATAATTTGTTTAAATGCAATCAGGAAGGAATCTTGATTGTTCTAAACCCCATCCTCTAAGTGGCTGTCAAAACTTCACCTCTGAAGGGACTGCTGCTGTGTCACTAATAAACAGAATCAAGTCAGACACTGGCACAGGAATAACAAAGCTGGAATCTCTACAATGGGGCTTCCAGCGGAGCTGATACACAATATTACCAGAAGCCAAGCACCATTAGCAAAACATCGACTTTAAACAGGAGAAGAAAAAAAAAGTCTGTTAATTTACTATAATGGCTATTAATTTACTATCTATTATATATTTTTTTCTTTTCTGTTCTGTTTTGGTTTAATTCATTTCTGTGGAGGGTATGTGAAGCTGATTGATGAGCGATGCTGCTCTTTCCAGGCTCTTGTGACTTCTGTTCTGTTGTGGGCAGATGGGTACCAAACATAAGCTGTGTTTCGCTGTCACTAAAGGTGTTATTTTCCTCATTCTTTTCTTGACAGGGATAGAATGATGCTGCTAAAGTTAGAACAGGAGATTCTGGAATTTATTAGTGATAACAAGTAAGTGGCTATCAAGTTTATGTCAAGCAAAACAGATATATAATTTACCATTTAGGAACTTAGGTTCCCAGGGGAAGAGTGAGTGTCTTCTGCTCAAGAGGACTGTCCTCTTGTGCATCCTCCTCCACTCTGTGCCCATTCATAAAGTGGCAGAGCGCTGTATTAATTTGATATCAATTGGTTTATCATCTCATCCACTGTGAGGGAGATTTGTGCTGTTGTGCAGCTCTTTTCAACATAAACTGTAGGAGAAGAAACCAGGATTCACATTCTGGAATATGGGAGAGAGGAAGTGTTCGCAGCCGAGCTTGCTTTTCTTTTTCCCCCCATTTAGTAGGACTGGAGAAGTCCTGACATAAGCACTAATAGTGGCTCCTGTTCCTGCTTAGGAACAAGCCTGTGCTTTTCTGCACAAGCTTCTCTTGTTTTAGGGCAGGCTTGTTCAGCTGGAGACTTGACCCTGCAAGCCCAGAGAATCACACAGAATCCCAGAACGGTTGAGGTTGGGACCTCTAGAGATCATCTAGTCCAACCTTCCTGCTCGAGCAGGGACACCTAGAGCACGGGGCACAGGGTGGCATCCAGGCGGGAATACTCAGGCCTCTACTTGAGTCCTGACTAACTGCTTTGGAATAGGCAACATGGTCTGGGATCAGGTCCAAGCATCTCTGGCCTCTCCCTTCCCCTGTCTCCCTTTTGCTGTCAGGATGTTGTTGTCTTCCCCATCCTAATGGCTTCTCCCCTGTCCTCAGCAATCAGTTTAAGAAGTTCCCTCAGATGACCTCATATCACAGGATGCTGCTGCACCGGGTAGCTGCCTACTTCGGCATGGACCATAACGTCGATCAAACCGGGAAAGCCGTCATCATCAACAAGACCAGTAACACCCGAATGTAAGGAGGAGGCTGGAACCCCCTTCCCTTCCTGCATGGCACTACATGACCCCCAGCCCCAGATCCCTGCCGTGGGCCAGAATGAGATGGATTTTATAGCAAGTATTTTGCCTCCATGAGAAAAGCAGGTCCACCGTGGAGGGTCCTGAAGAATCCTTCACTTCCAATCCTATATGTAAATATCTGCAAGCCCTTCCTGGCTTTGTACAGTTAGAGAAAAGGCAGGATCTTCTCCCTTTTCCAGATAGAGATAGAGATAGAGATAGAGATAGAGATAGAGATAGAGATAGAGATAGAGATAGAGATAGAGATTTGTCGCAGCTTGTGCATGCCCCTTGCCACCTTTCTGCAAGGAGTGGGTTTGTGAAGAAAGTCTCTGTCCATTTTTACACTTCTAACAAGGGCTGATTCCTCCCACAGCCCTGAGCAGAGATTCTCTGAGCACATCAAAGATGAGAAGAATGCAGAATTCCCACAGAGATTCATCCTAAAACGGGATGATACCAGCATGGACCGGGATGATAATCAGGTAAGGGGTAGGAGGATGTGCCTGCACGCTTTGTGGAGGTCATATGAGACTTTTCTAAGATTAGAATGACTCTAATTTTTTCTTGGCTTTCCTGCAGTAATAGTTTATAAAAGCTTCTGCTCCTCCCAAATGGCAGCATCCAAACATAGGAAGATTTTATAAAATACCATGGAAGTGGGAGAAGAAATTGGGCAGGCTCCATGCAGGGTACCATATTTCTATACCCTGAACAGTGACTGCTGGGTTTAAGGTGAAATGTTTTGCCACGGTTTCTTTGCAAGAGTCCCGGGGCTGAGCACTGCCAGATGTTTCTCCTGGGCCATGAAGTCACTGTGTCATTTCAGTACCCCCAGAAAGAAGCCACCAGCAAAATTAAACCCTCCAGTGCTTGAGCTCAGCATTATTGCCAGTCACCTGGGCTTGAAACCCTCCTGACCCCCTGGCTCCCTTCAGGCTGTGGAAGGTGGCACCACACCTGAAATTTAGGGTTGGTTTGTCCATCTGCGACTGTTTTCCCAACCTGTCCTAGACAAAATCTTCAGTGTCAAAAAGAGGCCGGAGGCCAGCAGACCTCTGCACCAGGGACCTCATATTCCTTGCTGTTTCGCTCCCATGTGTACATCAATCTAACAGGCCATTATCACTTGCTTTGGGTCATGCTTTTGAAAGTAGAAGTTGTCAGGATAAGGAGCTGGCCGTTGCAAACAGTGTCAGGCTCTGGTTTCCTCCACTCTGCAGGTAAGACAGCTACCCATGAAGCACAGAACTGAGGTGGATGGAGTTGGCTGCTGGCCATGTGCCTTCAAACATTGGCCTCCAGCTTGGGACTCTTTAGAACCAGAATATCCTTCAAAAGATGTTCCCAGTCCCTCATTCCCAAATCAGGCAGAGTTCAGGCATAGTGGTTGTGCTTGATCCAGGTCCAGTGTGCCAAGACCAGGAGATTCTCCCTTAGAAATAAGGGAGAGATACGAAATAAGCCTTAGAAATAAGCACCCAGAGAGTAGGTGCAAAGAACAGGGGCTGTCTCACAGCTTCCAGACACAGGAATCCCTGTCTGGTCACAGAGCTATGTAGAAGTACCAGCAACTGACTCTGCCCCCCTTCTCCTGTGGACAATTGCTGACCAGCTGAGCTGTGTTTGTCCCTTCAGATGAGACTCCCCTTGCAGGATGGGAGGAGGAGCAAATCTATAGAAGAGCGAGAGGAAGAGTATCAGCGGGTCAGGGAGCGGATATTTGCACGAGAGGTAAGCTCGAGTGACTCACCTGCCACATGCCCTACTGGAACTTTGTGGCAGAAGGTGTCTTGGAGTAAATTAAAAGGTCAGGTCTTGTCATTCCCTTTTCTAGAGACTTGTTTCCACTGGTGAAATCAGGGGCCTGACAAAGAGGTTGGAGCCATTAAGTTAGAAGCTGTGGCTCTGCTCCCCAGTCTGCTCTTCCCCTCCTTCCCTCATTAATTTTCCACTTTACATGTCAGGAGAAGTGTGGGAACTGACAGACAAGGCAGACTTGGCCCTTGCTGCCCAGCAAGATGAGAGTAGATTAGATTAGCTCGTGGAGGGGGGTCCAGGATGACTAGCAAATCAGTCACGGAGCCTAAAAGGAGCAGCTTTCTCCCCATTTTTTCCCTGCTGCTGCAGCTTCAGTCTCCTGGCGCTGGCCCTAGAGTGTCAGCCAGGGCTCTTTGCTTGCTCGAGATCTTCAATCCCTACATGGACGTTCTCTGAGGAGCTGAGGGCCATGCACACATCTGGCTTACAGAGAGGCTGCTGTGCCCTGCAACGGGTGGAATGAGGGACGGTGCCAAGTTCTAATGTGCCTTGGGTGGTGGTCAAAGTCCAGCTCCCGGGCTGCTGCTCTTGAGTGTCTGGGGGACAGCCCTTTTGTTTGCCCAAAGGGGAACTGCCACGTGCCTGGGCAAGAAGGGTGTTCAGGCATCTGCTGGGCTGGGTCTCAGGCTTTGGCCGAGGACTCTGCCCTCTGTAACCATGGATTTATCTTATACACAGAGGCCCAAAGCCACCCAGAGGTGTTATTGAACAGCTCTGTCTGCAGCCAGAGCATAACAGGCACTATCTGGGTTGTGCAAACTCCCGAGACATCTCGGAGTTGCTGCCCTCGGGGAAGCTTCCAAATGAGCCAGGATTGAGAGCCAGCTGGGACTGGACCATTAAAGGCTCAGCAAGACTCCTGGGTGAACATGGAACCCATATACAATACAGACCGTGCCTGAATCTCAGACCCTTAGTGCTCTGTTCCTCTTTGCTTGGAAATTGCCCAATATTTGTTGTTTCCAAAGTTGCTGAATCTCCCTTTTTTTTTTCTTCCCTCCCCTCTTCACGTGTTCTCCCCGCCTCCAGACTGGCCAGAATGGATATCTCACTGACAGCAGGTTAGTAGTGTTCACCAAGCACTGTTGTGTCTCTGCCTTTCTCCGTGGAAGGCTGCGTGACTCTATAATGATGCTTTTCTCTGATGTTGACCGACAGACTCTCCAAAGAAGGCTTTTCTTCTAGTTCTCACAAACGGAGGCAGATTTTTAGGTACCTCTGTGTGACTTATTTTTCACATTGTCCTGCTGAGTAAGTTTGCCCCATGCATGGCTGCTTGTGAAGTTATTCAAGTTGTATTTTTTGCGACATCAACTTTGGAGTCCTTCTTTTGCTGATCCATCAATTAAAGCGGAGGGGTGGAAGGTGGGAATGGCAGGGACGGATGGGGAAGCCGGAGGATTCCAGCACTTCCCAAATCCTTGTGCCTCTCGTTTCCCCACAGGGTAGGAAAATCCCTGCCCTTACAGTGACAGGATCAGCATCCTCACAGAGTGGGTTTGTCCCTAATGCCTGATTTTAATGGCTTTGTGATGGCAGGGAGGTGTCCAAGAAGCCCATTGCAACCTGAGTTGTGCTGCAGAGGGCACTGGGAGCATCTCTGAGCTGCATTTTCTTACTTCCCTGGCACTGGTGGCTGCTGAGGATGAGAGGATGAAGAACAGGATGAAAACTGAGCGACCCTCTTGCCTGTTGTCCTCTTGTTTGATAGCCACAACCCTAGAGAGGAGACATCTCTGGATAGATAGGTGGACAGACACCTATGCTGGTGGTGTCTGGTGGACACCCTGCCCTTCCCTCTTCTTCCCAGCAATCTGAATAGCCCCAAAACCAGCCTTCAGATTAGGTTGGAGAGACCCCAGGAACTTGCAGGTGACACCTATTAGGTCAGCTATAATTTTGGCTTTGGGGATGCACTAATCCGCTTCACCAGTTTGGGGATAATTGCACTGGTTGCTTTTCCAAAGAAGTTTTTTTTTTTTCCTCTTGTGCCCCCAGTGGCCCAGGACATCACCTAGGAAGCTCCTTCCAAGCTCCCTTTTCCCCACAACTGCCAGCCTCAGCATCAGCATCTTTTCCAGTGTCACCTTCCTCAACACTCCTCATCCGTGGAGGCCCAGGAACTCAGGACTGTGCTTAGGCTCCCATGTGGTCCTGTAGGACCATAGGCTCAGCTGGGCTCCCATATGGTCCTGTTCTGTCCAGATCTTGCCTGACCCCAAGGGAGGTGAAGGATGGGAGCTCTTAGGGGAGTGATTCCCTGACGTGTGCATGTTCCAGCGGGCAGGAAGCCCCACCACGGCTGGTGCAGAAAGTGCCCTGGCATCAGTGAGTCGGTCTGGCATCAGTCTGACATCAGTCAGTCTGACAGACATCCTTGTCTTGGAGACTCTAAAACTACCCAGAGAGAAGCCTCTGTTTGGAGCCATTGGGGCTTTAGCAAGGGACCGTGCCCTGGCCCTGCTGGAATCCCCTCCAGATCAGGGATTAGGGCGAGGGACAAATGCTCAACACCCTTGAAGAACGAGAAGCAACATGTGCGCTGCTCAAACAAGCCGTGGGCTGCGGTGTTTCTTCACCGTATGCGGGGCCACCTTGCTGTGTCACAGAGCCGCCCTTGTTGGGGCCATCGTGGGGCAGTTCGTGTGGGTCCTGCTGCTGCCCCTTCCCCCTGCAGTCGTTGTCTGACTCCTCCGCTCTCTGCAGGGGCAACCGGGACAGTTTGCACCGGGCCTCGGGCAGCCGTCAGAGCAGCACCGAGAGCGACATCAAGTCGCTGGAGCCGCGGCCCTGGAGCAGCACAGACTCCGACGGCTCCATCCGCAGCCTGCGACCCCCCGTCACCAAAGCCAGCAGCTTCAGCGGCATCTCCATCCTGACACGGGGGGACAGCATTGGGAGCAGCAAGGGCAGCGCTGCCAGCAGAACGTCCCGGGCAGGTACCGTGTCGTTCACCGGGCATCTTCTGCCAGGAGGCATCTGGGACACGGATCAGGGGATTGGGCCGTGTTGGTGCTGGTGGGTGATTAGATGGTCCATAGGAATCCATTCAGACATAGGGATGCACCTAACGAGCATCCCAGTGGCTTTGAAAGCTACCCGTTCCTCTTGTCATTTCAAGGTGCCTGTGTCATCTCCTGGGGCCCTGTTTCCAGGGCGGTGCTTACCCTGGTTCTTGCGACCACCCCTGGCACTGCCTCATCAAATGCTCCAACAGTTATTTGAGGATCTGGCCCAGCCAAGTGCAAAGCAGAGCAAGAGAGGATCCATTTTTTTGCTCTGTCTGTTTTTCCTCCAGGTTTTCCCTGTGCACGGAAGCCAGTTGCTTTCCAGATGCTGTATAATGGCGAGTAATTAGAAATACTGTGGAAAAAGAGACAAAAAGAAAATGTAATTTCTCTGGGAGCCAAAAAAAAAAAAGCCCCGTATCCGACTGTTTGTTCAGAGTGGAGGAACTCAGCGGTTCTTTTTCCATCTCAGCCATCAGCCTCTGGGCAACTGTGAAAAAAATATTTCCCCTTTTCTGGCGTAGGTGACGATCCAGAGCTCCTTATCAGAGTGCCTGTTGAAAAGCAGTAGATCAGAGGCAGAGCTGGTTGAATAGCAGCCGCTGGCCCTTCGAGGGATAATTTCACAACCCTTTTCTTTCCGTATGGCTGAAATGCTGAGGAGAGCGACACGTTATCACTCGCCTTCCTCCCGCTCCCCGTGTCCACGTGCAGCAGATGGAATTCAATCCAGCTGCAGTGCAGGAGATAGCGACAGGGTCTAAGTCACCCCGGCACGTGGGTGTTTTTCTCTCTCGGGTACCGACCCTGCCATGTCTTTTGTCTCTTCAAGGTCTGGTCCTCGGTGCCCCCGATGCCTGCAGCCAGTCGCCGTCTTCGCAGCCCAGCCGGGGCCTCCTGCCCTGCGCCGCCCAGCAGCCTCAACCGCAGTCACCGCAGCAGCCTCCACCGCAGACGCAAGGGCTGCCCCCCACGGCCCAGCAACAGCCAGCCATGAGCAACCACATGATGTCGCAGGTGGGTTGCTGCAGGGCTCACCCAGCCGCTGGGGCACAGAGGAGGGAGGTGCAAACAGAGACCCGCCGTGGGGAACACCTTGCCTTGCCCTGTGGGCTTGGGGTGGCCTCCTGTTGCCACTTCGTAGGGAGTGACGGTCCCTCTGTGATGCTGGCAGAGCAGGAGATAGTCAAAGAATCCTGGAATCCTTAAGGTTGGAAGGGACCTTTGGAGAGCAGCTGGTCCAACCCCCCTGCACATGCAGGGTTACCTAGAGCGCGTGGCACAGGGTTCTGTCCAAGCAGGTTTGGAAGATCTCCAGAGAAGGAGACTCCACAGCCTCTCTGGGCAGCCTGTGCCCAGGCTCTGGCACCCTCATTGTTACGAATTTTTTCCCTAAGTTCCTGCGGGACTTAGGGTGCTTCAGTTTGTGATTGTTTCCTCTAGTCCTGTTGGTGGCTACCACTGAAAAGAAACTGACTCCATCCGCCTCCCTTCCTTAAGGTGTTTATAGACACTCATCAGGCCCCCTCTCAGCCTTCTCCAGGCTGAACAGCCCCAGCTCTCCCAGCCTTTCCTCACAGGGCAGATGCTCCAGGCCCCCGCTCATCCTTGTAGCCCTGCGCTGGGCTCTCCCCACTATCTCCACGTCCCTTTGATACTGGGGAGCCCAGAACTGGACACAAGACTCCAAGATGTGGCCTTCAGTGTCCACATATGATGCTGCAGTGTCACTGATGCTGCTGAGAAACTGCAGCATCAGTGTCTCAGCTCAGCAGCCCCTTCTTTATCTGCTCGGGTCAACGAGGGTTCTGTGGCACTTGGGTGTGTGGCAATTGCCCATTGCCAGCTGCCCTCCCCAGGTAGTCAGGGTCTCCTAGAGTTAGCAGCAGACTGAGCACAATGTCCTGGATGGCAGTTTGAGCCCAGGATGGATTTCGGGAACTGTTCCCCTTTTTCTGGCTGCCATGAGCTCACTCTCTCCTGCAGAGGTGAGTCTGCCCTGCTGAACTGGAGCGTGTTAGTGTTCAGGGATGCAGGCATCAGAGCTGTGCAGAATTTCTGTTTCTAGAACAGAATTCTACTGTTTTCTTTTGCATCTGCTGCTCCTTGGCTCTTCTTCTAATGGTTTAGCTCCTGAAAAACTGCTCTTGTGCATTTGGCTGCTGGCAAAAGGTCAGAAAATGCAGGGTCTCCCACGTGCATGAACCTTCTGTCCCACCAAAAGACAAAGCAGATGAACAAAAGGAAGCCAGTGCCCCCAGCACTGTGTGTGGTGCTTGAGGTAGGTGTTGTCACAAGGCCACGTCAGCAGGTCCCCCAGGAGATGGAAGAGGGGCCCGTGCAGGAGGGTGAGGCTGAAAAGAGGCAGTTTTACCAGCAGGGAAGCCAGGAAGCTCTGCAGAGAGAGCTGGGAGCCGGGGCCACATGCAAGCGGAGGGTGAAGATGGAGAGACACAAAGGCGGCCCCGGGAGGACAAGGTCCTCCTGGTGCTCCTAACAGTAGAATTGTGAACGTGTGTCGCTGTTTGCGCCAGGCAGGAGCTGCTTTGCGGACCCCGGCGACCTCCCCAGCTTCCGCAAAGCGGCGGGCCGGGCTCTGCCTCTCCCTTCACGGAGACACGGATGCTCTCCCGCTCTGGTCCCTGTGCTTTCCACCCCTCTGCGCTGCTCTCCCTCCTTCCCCACCGTGTTTGCAATCGGTTCCGTGGACTAACCTTGTTGTTCCTTCTTTCTCTCCTTCTTCCCATCCTGTTCATCCTTCTTCCCTGCCTCTCTTCCTTCCCCCCACACCTTTTCCCACCCGAATCTTCCTCCTTGGCTCCCTTCTCTGCTGGTCTCAGCCGGTCCCAGCGCTGCAGCCTGTTCAATATTCTCCAAGCTCCTGCCCCCAAGTCCTCTTGCCAGTCTCTCCACCCCAGCAGTACAACATGGTATAACCCCCATTTCCTCTTCTGCACTCTCTGTTGTGTTCTTGTGGTGGATTTTTGTGGTGTTTGGGCTTTTGCTGGTCAGATGTGTTGCGGATGCTGCACCCAGAGGGTTCGGGGAGGCCCTTCGCTGCAGCAAGGCCAAGGCCACGGGGCGCTCAAGGAGGTGGGAAGCCCAGACCTGCCCCAGGAAGAGCTGCCTGTGCCCAGCACGGGGATTCCAGGGCCTGGGGCACCCCTGGGTGCCATGAGCCTGGACCCTGCCCCATAGCGCCCCGGGCTGGGGACACCTCAGGGGTGATGCTGCAGTTGCTGCTCCCTGAATGTCCTTGCTCCTGCAAAAAGCTCTTGGGCTGAGACTTGTTGCTGGGACTTACCGAGAGCCCCGTGGACTAGAGCACAGCCTGCTGTGCTGGGAACAGCCATATCCCATGTGCCTTCCTACTCCATCCCTCCCCCTCATCCCCAATGCAGGGTGATGAACTCAGCAACCCCTTCGGGCAGATCAGCCTCAGTCGGCAAGGCTCGGCAGAAGCACCGGATCCTTCCTCGGCCATGTTCCAGTCGTCCCTCATCTCCCAGCACCCGCAGCAGACGGGATTCCTCATGACGTCTCCTGGGCAGCCCATTTCCACCTCCAACTACTCGGCCTCGGGGCACACGCCCCCCACACAGCAGGTGCTGCAGCCCCAGAGCTACATTCAGCCTCCCCAGCAAGTAAGGACACGCGCAGAGCCGGGCCGGGGAGCACAGGATCACAGAAGGGTTGAGGTTAGAAGAGACCTCTAGGGATCATCTAGTCCAACCTTCCTGCTCCAGCAGGGACACCCAGAGCACAGGGTGGCACCCAGGTGGGTTTGGGAGACCTCCAGAGCAGGAGCCTCCCCAGCCTTCCTGGGCAGCCTGTGCCAGGGCTCGGGGACACTCACAGTGAAGTTCCTCCTCACATGGACATGGAGCTGCCCATGTTGCAGCTGACTCCCGTTGCCCCTTGTCCTGTCACTGTCCTTGTCCTGTCACTGAGGTGGCCAGTGAGCAGCACCGAGAGCAGCACCTTGCAGAGGGTCCCTCCCTGCTCCTGCTCAGTGCACATGGGCCAAAGCACCAAGTCGGCTGCCTGCCCTGTGCCCCCCTGAGCTCACATGGTGCTCGTGCAGGGGTCCCCATGGCCATTCCTGGCACGGGTCTTGGAGGAGGGACCGCAGCTGTCAGAGCCCAGATTCAGGTCTGACGCTTGTCAGCAGTTCTTGGGGTCCTGCAGGGTGTTAGGACCCCAGGGATTAGTCTCTGGGAACTGGGGCTCCCCTGCTCTTGCACTGCTGTGCTGGGAAAGGGAGGAGGGGAAGGAGCTGCAGCTCCCAAGGCGCCGTCATCTCTCCAGAGCCAGAACCTTGCTTGGTTTCACTCAGCAGACACTAAGCAAGGTTAGAAACAAGCTGGCTCTGGGGACTAGCTTGCTTGATCCCGCTCTTGCATTCTCACCATCTCTTTTCTTGCTTCACGTAGATTCAGGTTTCTTACTACCCTCCCGGGCAGTACCCGAACTCCAGCCAGCAATACCGATCTCTCAGTCACCCAGTGGCCTACAGCTCCCAGCGCACCCAGCAGCTCCCCCAGCAATCCCAGCAGCCTGGTAAGGGGAAGCGGGGGCGGGTGCACACGTTTCCCTTCACTGCAGCTCTCTTGGCTCTTCAGGAGCTCCCATTTACTGGCTGGGGCAGCAGTGCCCTTCCTTGCCTTGAGGGCACTACCCTTGCTGCCTATAGGGTTGCTCTGGGCTGTGCCAAGGGGAGCTGAAAGCAGCCCAGGCTGCTGGGCCTCTTTCAGTCTCTCCCTTAGGTCTCAGCAAGCAGGATGGACATCAAAATGCAGTGTGCACTGAGCTGCTGTAAGGTGGATTTAAAGCCAGGAGCCGTGTTCAGACCTTTGCACATAAAACAAAGGCCTTTCCTCATTGTTTTAGCCAAAGACGGGGGCAAAGCAGGACCTGACTAATTACATGCAAGTGCCTGGCTGCCTGCTGAGAAACTCCTCCATTTCAACCCCGTCCTGACAGGTTTACAGCCAATGATGTCCAACCAGCAGCAAACCTACCAAGGTGTCATGGGGGTGCAACAGGCGCAGCCCCCCGGCCTCCTCAACAGCCAGCGGAGCAGCCTGGGGGGCCAGATGCAGAGCGTGATGGGGGTGCAGCAGGCGCAGCCCCCCGGCCTCCTCGGCAGCCAGAGGAGCAGCATGGGGAGCCAGATGCAAGGCCTAATGGTCCAGTACACTCCACTGCCTTCGTACCAGGTAGGCATCGCCTGTGCTCAGGGGAGGGGATGCTGGGCAAAGGCCTCGCAGGAAGCACCTTCCTGTCTTATGCCTGCCCTTCCCTGGGTAGGATTGCTCCTGAATGCAGTAAACAGGAGCCTGTCCTTGTTTTCTGCCCTGTTGGGACCTCTCTGGCTCTTCTTTGGGGCCAGTTCTCCCTGCTTTTGTTGTCGCTCCACTGTCGTTTCCAGTGCTGAACCTCTCTCCCCCCATGCAGGTCCCCGTGGCCAACGAGTCGCAGAACGTGGTCCAGCAGCCCTTCCAGCAGCCAGTGCTTGTCCCGGCCAGCCAGTCCGTTCAGGGGGGGCTCCAAGCTGGAGGGGTTCCCATCTACTACAGCGTCATCCCAACTGCCCAGCAGAACGGCACCAGGTAAAGCGGCTGCTCTGCCCTCCTGAGAGGGCATCACGTCCTCTCCCTGCAGCTCAGGGGGGCAGCCGGGCACTACAGACACTTGTCCTCTCTTGAGTGTCTTGAGACTCTTGAGTGTCTCTTGAGGACAAGTTGCCCGGTCCAAGCCCCGTAGCCCAGCAGCAGCTGCTGCTTTCCGAGCGGCTGCATTTCCCAGCATCTCGTGTGCCAGGGGGCTGCTGGCATGGGCAGGCAAACGGCTTCCCCCACCGCTAGCATCTCACCAAAGCTCTCTGCTTCGCAGCCCTTCCGTGGGGTTCCTTCAGCCTCCTGGCTCTGAGCAGTATCAGATGCCACAGTCGCCCTCGCCCTGCAGCCCGCCGCAGATGCAGCAGCAGTATTCAGGTAAGAGAGGCTGCTGGCCCTTGTTGGCACCGATTCCACCAGGCTGGGTTTAAGAAGAGGCAGGAGGGCTGAGCAGAGGAGCCCGTTCACCGCTTTGCACCGGGAATTTCCTCCCGGAATGTGGCTCGGGGGCCTGGCTGCAGCCAGGGCTGCTCTGTGCCTGGGGTCCCCTTGCTGCAAGGGACAAGCGAGGTGGGCGCAGGCGCTGGCAGCTGCCGTGGCCTCTGGACTCCCTCTGCTGGTGACGTGGCTTCGTGTCACTAGGGCAGCTTGGGAGTAAATTAGTAAATTTATTAGTAAATAATTAGTGCAGGAGCAGCAAAACAAGAGCAGGGAGCTGCAAAACAAGATATGGGGGCACTGCACCCAGCTCTGTCACCAGAGCCTTTGCGTAAGGGTTTGGCCTGATGAGGCCAGAGTTGCCTCCAACTTGTTTCCTCCACCCCGGTTTTCTTCGGGTTGGAAGTCATCGCTTGACTGCTGTAAGTTGTGACACCAGAGAGGGGTGTTGCTCTGCAGAGGCTTCGCAGGGCCTCTGTGCACCTGTCTGGGCAGGTGGGATAGTGGAGGAGCCTTGTGAGGGAGCTGCTGTCGCTGCCTCTTCCACAACAAGCAGCAGCCTCCAGAGCCTCGGCATCTTTAGCATTCTTTGGTTCAATGATTCTCTGATCTCTGTGGCTGTTTCCTCTCCGCAGGGGTGTCTCCGTCAGGCCCTGGTGTGGTTGTGATGCAGCTGAATGTACCCAACGGCCCCCAGCCCCCCCAGAACCCCCCCGTGGTGCAGTGGAGCCACTGTAAGTACTACAGCCTGGACCAGCGGGGCCAGAAGCCGGGAGACCTCTACAACCCAGAGAGCAGCGCTCAGGTATGGAGAGGCCTGCGAAGAAGGCGGCTCAGCTCTTGGGCGCGCACTGGTCCCCAGTACCCACCCTGCATGGGCAGGGGGAAGCGGGGTGCGCTCACCCCATGGTGCTGGGGCAGGCGTGGGGTGGCTCGCGGGCACCAGGGGGTCTAAGGCTCTCCGTCCCGCAGGCCGGCGCCCAGCTCACCAGCCCCATCAGCTCCCCGACGCAGTCCCCGACGCCGTCTCCTGTCACCAACCTCAACAGCGTCTGCACGGGGCTGAGCCCCCTCCCGGTGCTCACGCAGTTCCCCCGGCCCATGGGGCCAGCACAAGGTAAGGGGGAAGCGTGGGGGACAGTGCAGGCCTGGGGCTCCCCCTTAGCCCCTCAACCCCCTGCCAACATTTGCTCCCATCCTGCAAGTGGTGGCCAGTGACAGGACAAGGGGTAATGGGTGTTAAGTTAAAACCCAGACAGCGCCATCTCCATGTGAGGAGAAACAGCTTTCCTGTGAGGGTGCCCGAGCCCTGGAACAGGCTGCCCAGGGAGGCTCCTTCTCTGGAGGTCTCCCAAACCCACTTGGGTGCCACCCTGTGCCCCGTGTTCTGGGTGTCCCTGCTGGAGCAGGGGGTTGGACTAGATGATCCCTAGAGGTCCCTTCCAACCTCAACCCTTCCGTGATTCTGTGATTCTGCAGGTGACGGGCGTTACTCGCTGCTGGGCCAGCCCCTGCAGTACAATCTGTCCATCTGCCCCCCGCCCCTGCTCCACAACCAGCCCAACTACAGCGCACACCAGGTAAGGCCGCGTTGCATCCACCCCTCCTGGGTGTCCTGGGCGCTGGGCGAGCACCTGTGCGCAGGGCCCGGCCAAGAGGACCTGCCTGGGTGACAGGCGGCCTCCCCGTGCAGCAGGGCTGCCCTTGGGAACGGTTCTTTTTGGAGCTTGACATTGGGCCCAAATCTCACCCAGCCTTGTCCAGGGCCGGTGTCTGCCCTGAAGCCACCAGTGGCTGTGCCCTGCCCTCATGCAACCCCCCCAGACCGCCACGGCGTCACCCCAAAGGTGCCAGGGTGCACCCGGATGTCTCCATTCCCCTTGGCACTCGCGGCCGGGTCACGTTGGGTCTTGCTGTGCGCGCCGTGAGGCCTCCCCGCGCCGCGGTGTCTCCTCCTAACGGGTGACACGTCACTGTTTTTACTCTCGAAGGGGCAAACTGGAATGAAACATGGAAACCGGGGCAAGAGACAGGCCCTCAAGTCGGCGTCCACTGACCTCGGGACCAGCGACGTAGGCAAGTGACCCCTCTCCCTTGCTCCCCACCGGGTCCCCGTTGCAAGGAAGTGACTGACTTCTCCCTGCAGCAAATGCAGGACTTGGGGCCAAACAGGCTGCAGTGGGACCGTCCCTGCAGGCTCCTCGTTGTCCCCCGTGTCACCTCTGTGTCACCAGCACCGAGTGCAGCTGTTTGCAGGGGGCCCTTTTAAGAGCTGCTTCCCGGAGCGCTGCACCCTCCGCGCCGGCGTGTTCCTTACATGCCGTGTTAATATTAGCAAGGAATCCGGGCGGCCGGCGCGCCGCTAAGCCCCGAAGCTGGAGGGGAGCCGCGGGCGGCCGGTGCCGGCGCTCGGGGACCGCCGAGCAGAGCCCTGGGCGCAGGAGGGGACTGTCCCCATGAGGAAGCACCTGGGGGAAGGGCAGCGGGGATGGGGCAGCCCCTTCCCGGCACCCCGGCCAAGCGGGAGCCGATGGGATGAGCAGATGGATGAGCCGATGGGATGGGTCTGCTGGAGGCCAGGCCCAGGCAGAGCCTGGCGCTGCTGGAGCCATGGGCAGCCCGGCCTGTGTGTCCCAGTGGGGCACAGGGGACCCGCGTGGGGCATCGGAAGGGCACGGGCACTGCAGGGACCGGGAAGTGGGGACGGTCAGTTTGGGGAGTCACTGGTGACCGCTCGGGAAGGGCATCCCCGACGCAGGAGCTGCGCTCCGCTCTGCCCCTCGGGCTCGCGACTCCCACCCCAGGGCTGCGGGGACGTCGGGGGCAGCCCGAGCCGCCGCGACCGACACGCGCCCTCTTCCCGCTGCAGTGCTGGGCCGCGTGCTGGAGGTGACGGACCTGCCCGAGGGCATCACGCGCACCGAGGCCGACAAGCTCTTCACCCAGCTCGCCCTGGCGGGCGCCAAAATCCAGTGGCTCAAAGAGACTCAGGGGCGGCGCGGGGACGGGGACGGCAGCGGCCCTGCGGAGAACGGCCGGCACCCCGACCTCGCTGCCTTATACACCGTGGTGGCCGTGTTCCCCAGCCCGCTGGCCGCCCAGAACGCCTCCCTGCGCCTCAACAACTCGCTCAGCCGCTTCAAGCTGCGCGTGGCCAAAAAGAACTACGACCTGCGGGTGCTGGAGCGCGCCAGCTCGCAGTAGGGCTCGCCTGGGCCCCGAGCACACTGGACTGCGGGCGCTTCCGTCTCTCTTCCTTCCCGCCCTTCCTTCCTCTCACCCTCCTTCCCTGGATATATTTATATGGACATAATTAAGAGACAAAGAAATTGATTTTTTTTTCTTTTTTTTTTCCTTTTTTTTTTTTAATTTTTGGAGTGATGCCCATGCCCGCCCACTCTCCCCTGTGTATATTGTTTTGTTAAGCACTGTGTTGAGCCGCACATACAGGTGTTGATTGGTATGTTCACTGCACATTTTATTTAATCTGATTATTATTTTGTGGGGGGGGTATT